CACCAGTCAGTGTACAGATATCTCCCTGAGAGAGAGAGAGGGGACTGAGAGACAGCAGTCAGTGTACAGATATCTTGAAAATGAAACAAGTGTCTTGTGAGCTCCTGCCTGTTGAAGTGGAGTCAGAGCGAAAGTAGAATTGGGACATGAGGTCAGTAAAATGGGAAATTAGCATCACAGGAGGAGGAAATGGACCGGGGAGAAATGTAAGATGGTATCCATCATCAATGAGCCTCGTTCCAATGTTAACAGTCCAGGTTGTACTAGATTTGATGTTGTGTAATGAATGTGCCTCAATTACTGATAGAGTTCAGACTGATTCCTGGTCACAGTGAGGATGGTTTGATTGTCATATGGACCTAGTTCAAAGAGGGAAGGAGTGAGTCATATTTTAATGCTGTATATTTGGAAAATGAATCATGACATCAGTATGGTCATTTATGCAGATAGTTTTGAATGGCTTCCTCCTTTGCTGTGTAACAGGCTCGAGGAGGGGGCGCTGAATGGCCACCTCCTGTTCCTATGTAGCAGGCCCATGAAGGGGATTTGTATGCATGTCTGTCTGTGCGGTTTGATAGTCCTGTGGCTTCTCTCTGCTCTGATCTGACCTCTCTATCTTGTCATCATGCTCCCAGTAAGAGGATAATAAATCTCGGACCTGTTCATCCCGGACCAACCAGCCCCGATCCCCAGCCGTCTGGTACCCGGGTTATCTGTGGGCATTGCAAAAACACATTCCTGGTAAGCAGTGTGTCGGTCCGTGGGGAGGTATTGGGGCTGTCTCTGTGTGTGTGTGTGTGTGTGTGTGAAAGAGAGAGCAAGCGCGAGCGACGGGGCTCTCTCTGTCTGTGTGGGTGTGTCTGTGTGTGAGAGAGATTGAGCGAGGGACGGGGCTGCGTGTCTGTGTGTATGTGTGACGGGGCCGCGTGTCTGTGTGTGTGTGTGTGAGAGCGAGGGACGGGGCCGTGTGTCTGTGTGTGCGTGTGAGAGCGAGGGATGGGGCCGCGTGTCTGTGTGTGCGTGTGAGAGCAAGGGACGGGGCCGCGTGTCTGTGTGTGCCTGTGAGAGCGAGGCGCGCGGC